TTTAAGGCTCGCCCATGTCGTAGCACGTGTCAGTACTTCTTTCTATTCTGTGGCCAGATAACATTCCATCGTATGACTTCAGCACATTTCACATATCCACTTATTAACTGATGGACATTTAGGGGCTTCAACCTTTTTTTTTTCCCTGTAGAGACAGAGTCTCACTTCATTGCCCTCAGTAGAGTGCTGTGGCGTCACAGCTCACAGCAACCTCCAACTCCTGGGCTTAGGCGATTCTCTTGCCTCAGCCTCCCAAGTAGCTGGGACTACAGGCACCCGCGACAATGCCTGGTGTCTTGTTGCGTTTTGGCCGGGGCTGGGTTTGAACCCACCACCCTCGGTATATGGGGCTGATGCCCTACCCACTGAGTCACAGATGCCACCCAGGGGCTTCTACCTTTTGCTGCTATAAACATTTGTATACAAGTTTTCGTGTGGGCATGTTTCAGTTCTCCTGCAACTGCTGAGTTATTTGGTAATTCTATATTTAGCATTTTGAAGCACTGCCAAACTTATTTTTTTTTTGCAGTTTTTGGCCAGGGCTGGGTTTGAACCCACCTCTGGCATATGGGGCCGGCGCCTTACTCCTTTGAGCCACAGGCGCTACCCATGAACTGCCAAACTATTTCCACAGTGGCCACACCATTTGACATTCCCATAAGCAGAGTTCCCATTTCTCTGCTTTCCTGACGACACTGTCCTTCTGACTCTGTGTGTCTCCCCCCATGACCTCACCTCAGGGGTATTCAGTTTACTGGCTGGATGCTCTCTGGGTTGCTCCCTCTGCCAGTGAGCCTGGTGTAAAGGGATAGTTTATCTGCTGGTGGCATTAACTGGGACACTGGGTTTGGGGAGAACTCTGCATTTAGTCTGTGTCAGGCCTAGTGCTGAGCCCTGAAGTCCATGACTTGGTGGAGCCCAGGGTCTAAGGGGGCACAGCTGAGACAACAGAGCATTCGATTGCAATGTGCTAAGTGCAATCCCAGATGAGAGCCCAGGCATTATTACTGGAGACTGATGGAGAGATGGCACCAGTTCCTGCACCTAACAAGGGAGACGCTTTTTAAGAAAGGCTTACTTGGCTCGGTGCCTGTGGCTCAAGCGGCTAAGGCGCCAGCCACATACACCTGAGCTGGCGGGTTTGAATCCAGCCCGGGCTCACCAAACATCAGTGACGGCTGCAACCAAAAAATAGCCGGGTGTTGTGGTGGGTGCATGTAGTCCCAGCTACTTGGGAGGCAGAGGCAGAAGACTCGCTTGAGCCCCAGAGTTGGAGGTTGCTGTGAGTGTGATGCCAGAGCACTCTACCCAGGGCAACAGCTTGAGGCTCTGTCTCAAAAAAAAAAAAAAAGAAAGAAAGGCTTCCTGGCTCAGTGCCTATAGCTCATCAGTTAGGGCGCCAGCCACATACAACAGTGGCGGGTTCAAACCCAGCCCAGGCCTTCCAAACAACGGTGACAACTACAACAACAAAACAGCTGGGTGTTGTGGTAGGCGCCTGTTGTCCCAGCTACTTGGGAGGCTGAGGCAGGAGACTCGCTTGAGCCCAGGAGTTGGAGGTTGCTGTGAGCTGTGATGCCATGGCACTTTACCCAGGGGGATAGTTTGAGGCTCTGTCTCAAAAAAAAAAAAAAAAGGGCTTCCTGGAAGAGACACTGCCTGACCTAAGTCTTAAAGATTGAGTACAAGTTACTCAGGCAAAAAAGGAGATATGATGTTCCCAGGCAAGGGGAACACCATGAGGAAAGGCATGGAGCTGGGAAGCAATAGTCTGGGCTGAACATGGCAGTATCTGGGAGAATAGAGACTCATGATGAGGGAAGAAGAGAGAGAGATTTGAGTGCGAGCAGCCCAGGTACCACTTAAGAAAGATGGCAGACAGGAGGGCTGCCTTGGTCTCTTCATCTCTAAAATGGGGATAATAATATTACTTACCTTGTAGGAATCTTGTAAGATTTTAAAATATTTTTTAAAACATATTTTCTTGGAGACAGAGTCTTTTTTTTTAGAGACAGTCTTACTTTGTTACCCTCGGTAGAGTGCAGTGATATCACAGCTCACAGCAACCTCCAGCTCTTGGGCTTAGGTGATTCTCTTGCCTCAGCCTCCCGAGTAGCTGGGACTACAGACCCCCGCCACAGCACCCAGCTATTTTTTGTTGCAGTTTGGCTGGGGCTGGGTTCAAACCCGCCACCTTCGGTATACCGTATATGGGGCCAATGCCCTACTCACTGAGCCACTGGTACTACCCCAGAGTCTTTCTATATTGCCTAGGCTGGCCTCAAATTCCTTGGTTCAAGGATTCTCCTGCCTCGGCCTCCTAAGTAGCTAAACTACAGGTGCTCACCACCACCCCTGGCTATGGTCTTGTAGGGGTTTAATGAGCTTGAATGAAAAGTTTATGTGCCATTTTGTCATTGTTGTTTGGCAGGCCTGGGCTGGATTCAAACTGCGAGCTCCAGGGTATGTGGCTGGCACCCTAGCCGCTGAGCTACAGGCACGGAGCCTATGTGTCATTTTGAACAATCTCTGGCACATGATCAATCAATGTTGGCTGTAATTGTTGCTCTCATCCAAAAACTTGTAGATAAGCTGGGCAAGGTGGTTCACGCCTGTAATCCTAGCTCTTTGAGAGGCTGAGGCAGGTGGATTGCTTGAGCTCAGGAGTTTGAGACCAGCCTGAGCAAGACCAAGACCCTGTCTCTATAAATAGAAAACTTAGGTGGGTGTTGTGGCCGGTGCCTGTAGTCCCAGCTACTCAGGAGGCTGAGGCAAGAGGATCACTTGAGCTTAAGAATCTGTGATTGCTGTGAGCTATGATATCAGGCATGGAAGAGAGAGACTGAACAGTTCTCAGGAAAGGAAGGTGGACTTAGCAGACACAATATGTGTCCAGTTCTAGACAGGAGGTGGGAACGAGTTATCCATCAACCACAATATAAGTGACTACTGTGGCCAAGGTGATGTGTAAAAGCTGCCAGGATTTGAAGAAGTATACACACACACACACCCTGCCAGCCACGAGTTGGGAGAGATAAGGCAATGATGCATGGAAAGTAAGAAACCATCCAAGTCGGGGCAGTGCCTGTGGCTCAAAGGAGTAGGGCGCTGACCCCATATGCCGGAGGTGGTGGGTTCAAGCCCAGCCCCAGCCAAAAAAAAAAAGGAAAAGAAACCATCCAAGTCTCACCATAGAGCAACATTAATATTCTAGTAAGTGGCAAGTCCAGAGAATGATGGATTCATTTCAAGCTAGAGCAGGCTGGGGGGAGGGGGGCTTCGTGGAAAAGCAGGGGACTGAACTAGAGGGTGAGAGGAGTCACAGAGGACAGCAGGGGAGAGATCAATTCAGTGGAGAGGGCCACAGGGTATGAATGAGACTTTCAAGTTATTTATTTATTTTATTTTTGTAGAGACAGAGTCTCACTTTGTTGCCCTCGGTAGAGTGCTGTGGCATCACAGCTCACAGCAACCTCCAACTCCTGGGCTTAGGCGATTCTCTTGCCTCAGCCTCCCAAGTAGCTGGGACTACAGGTGCCCGCCACAATGCCGAGCTATTTTTTTGTTGTGGTTTGGCTGGGGCCAGTTTTAAACCCGCCACACTTGGTATATTGGGCCAGTGCCCTACTCACTGAGCCACAGGCACCACCCAGCTTTCAAATTATTTACAATCACCCAGAGAAGGAGGAAAACTTTCCAGGGTCCCCCATGGAGGTTAATGGCAGATAGCACAGGAAAGAGCGATATAATTAACAACAAACATTTATTAAGAGTCAGGCATAGTGTTAAGTGCTTTCCATGTTTAGCAGGCAGGAAAATCTCCATTTTAAAATTATACTGCAAATCAGAACCTACTGCTCCAAGACAACATCCCAAGTATGTAGGCTTTCAGGGGCCAGGTGAGGAGGAATAATGAGTGACTCGGCCAAGTGTCAGTAAGGAGTGGTGCAGTTTGTGGCAAACTGAAGGGCATTTGCTTCCTCTAAAAGAGGCAGCCCCTCAGCCCAGCCAGTGTGTCCCCACTGACCACAGTGACCTTAAATCTAGTGGACCCTCCCCTTCTCTTCCAGCTGCCTCTTAGGACCACTCCTTGAACCATTCTCTTCATCCCTCCCAGGATGCCTACGATTGTTTGGTTTTCCTTCTACCCCTCTGGCCACCCTTTTCAGGTTCCTGGGCTGGCTGTTCTCTTCTGATCAGGCTTTGCTGGGTAGGGTTTTCCAGGGCTCAGGCTCAGGCCCCTTCTCATCTGACTCCTGTTATCTTCCCGGGCCCACTCCGCCTGTACCAGGCCTCCCGTATTTAAACTTGGAGCCTGGCTCTTCTGAAACCAAGGAATATGTGGGCACCTCACACAAGAACAAACCCCAAAAGGACTTTCTAGACCCTCTGTAAACCTGCTGCCCCTGTTGCCCTGTTTCAACTCCTCCCTCTTAACCTTCTGCATCCAACTTGTCCCATAGCTTGGCATCTACTTGTCCCATAGCTTGGCTTCTACTGAAATGCGTCCCACACTATCCACCTCTCTCCACCTCTGCTGCCACCACCCTAATCTGGGACATACTGTTACTGCTGTGGACAGTCACCTGGGCTCCTTGCTCTTGTTTTATCCCTCCTTCTATCTCCCCCTTTACACAGAATCTATAGCTATGATTTTTTTTATTTCTTATAGCATAACTATGTACATTAATGCAATCATGGGGTACAGAGTGCTGTTTTCATATACATTTTGAAATACTCTCATCAAACTGGTTAACATAACCTTCATGTCATTCTCTTAGTCATTAAGTTAAGACATTCATACTCTGCTTTTAGAAAGATTCACTTGTACCCTTGTAAGATAAACCATACAGGTGACCCTACCAATCACCCTCTCTCCCCCCATTCACTCCCCTCACCTCCCTCTCCCACCCCCTTCCCAGATTCTAAGGCTATAATTAGGTTATGACATTCCTATAAAAGCTATGAATTAGTTTCAAAATAGGGCTGTGTACATTGGAAAAAATATGGAATGCTTCACGAATTTGCATGTCATCCTTGTGCAGGGGCCATGCTAATCTTCTCTGTATCGTTCCAATTTTAGTATATGTGCTGCACTATAGCAAGCACTATAGCTATGATTTAAAGATGCAAATTAATCATGTCTCTCATATGTTTAAAACCTTTTCATGGTTTCCCCTGGATTGAGTATAAAATCCAAAATCACTGATGTGGTTCACAAAGCCCTCTATGAACTGGGCCCAGGGACATGAAATTTAATGTCTGTAGGATGCAGGCAAGTGACTTCAACAACTGCGCCAAATGGGCTGCCTGTCTGAGGGTGTGGCTAGACAGATCTGATTTCAGCAGAAGCTGGTCACCCAGATTTATAAGTAAAGCTATAAATTCAAAAGCTGGCAACTGAGTCACAAACATTTTAATATTATGCAAAAGAAAAACAAAACCGATACCTGTTTATCAGACGCAGCCCCTCAATAGCCGATTGTTGGCCTCTGCTCTAAGGGTCATGGGCAGGACTTCAGCTGGAAAAGTTATGAATACATTTGTTTGACAAGCATTGAACAGGTTTGTTTGGGGCGGGGGGTGCAAAGATACAGCATCTCTTCTCTCCCTTTCCCGAGGAGCAGGCTGCTCTGATAGCAGAGTGGGACGGTGTCTTCCTTGGCATGAACGGTTTTGCTTTCACATCAAATTGCGGTTTTCTCCTTGTTGCCCAGAAGAGAAGGAATTTGGAGGCCCTGGAAGTGGGAGGAAAGAGGGAATGGGAAAAGGAAAAAGGGCTCCCACCCAGTGTCCATAGTTTGGACAGGGGCAGCAGGCCAAGCCTGCAAGGAGAGGGTGGGGAGGCCTTCTCTCCCCACCTCCCTGTCCCAGGGATTGGGGCAACAGCCGGCCAACTCCAATCCTTTCCGATCCTGGTGTCACCCCCTCTTCTTCCCTGCTATCACAACTCCAGAGTCCCACCCTCAGGCTTGAGCTACTACAGGCTGCCTTGGGGTGAAGCCACCTACAGACAGCTAGAGTAGCTTAGAGACACAGTGGCAGTCCAGCAGAGTGACCTGAGCCAGAGGCAGCAGGTGACACATAGGACCGGCCTGTGATGGCCCACAGAGATATTTAAGAAGGCTCTGGACTGGCTGTCAGCCCCCGTGGATGGAGGCTTAAGCTGGTGTATGTGACTATTTCAGGTGACCCCAGGGATCAGGTTTCAAGTGCAACCCCTCATTTAATCATCCTAAGAATCCCAAGAGGTAGGTGCTGTTATCCCCATTTTGCAGACAGGAAAATAGGCTTGAGAGAGGAAGTCACTTCCCAAGGCCACAGGGCTGGGCACTTGCCTGAATGGAGCTTCCAGGGAGGGAAGGGGCACAGCATCTCAGAGGGGCTCTGAGGGCTGGGAGCCAGGCCTGCTTTGGCAGGTTTGTGAGTTGGTGGCAGTCCCCACCCAGAGTGTCCTGGGAGATTTGTTAACACTGAGTTGAACAGAGGGCCACTACCGGGCCTGCCAACCTGGGGATTCTGGACACAACATCACTGATGATACATTGATTGAGACATCACTTGAGCTCCTATGCCGGAGGGGCCTGTGAGAGAGGCTGAGAAACCAAGAACGCATGTGATATGGCCCTTCCCGGGTGGTGCAGACCTAGAGGAGGAGGCAGAAGCACCAACAGCAGGTGTGTGATGCTGCGGGGAGGCTCATGCAGGAGCTCTGGGAACCCAGGTGAGGCAGTGGTTGATCTCTGGGGGAGGCCCAGGTCCTTCCAGATAAAAAAGCAGCTGATGTGAGCCTGGAGGGTGTTAAGCTGCCCTAACAAAGCACCAGCACCGCAGATGGCTTCTGATGACGGGAGGAGCCTCTCCTGGTTCGGGAGGCCAGAAGTCAGAATTCAAGGTGTCAGGTCAAAAGAGGAGACAAGAAAAGGAAAGTTCCACTCATTCCTCAGACCCCAGCCCTACACACAGTCCACCAGTCCTACCAACAATGTCAGGAAGACAGTCCCACCCGCACCCACCCCTCACTTCTGCAGGTGCATTATCTTTTTTTTTTTTTTTTGAGACAGAGCCTCAAGCTGTCCCCCTGGGTAGAGTACCGTGGCATTACAGCTCACAGCAACCTCCAACTCCTGGGCTCAAGCGAGTCTCCTGCCTCCGCCTCCCAAGTAGCTGGGACCACAGGCGCCCGCCACAACGCCCGGCTATATTTTGGTTGCAGCCTTCATTGTTGTTTGGCGGGTCCGGGCTGGGGATTCGAACCCGCCACCTTAGGTGTACGTGGCTGGCGCCTTAGCCGGTTGAGCTATAGGCGCTGAGCCCAGGTGCATTATCTTACCCTGAATATCTCAAGTGTGTTCAGGTTATTGATGGTGGGGCTGGGGAGAGACTTGGTGACAGGACGCCTCTATCATGATGTCCCTACTTCTTTAAGCCTCTCTGGCCCCTTCTCCCCTGCATCCCTCCCCCCACCCAGCACTTTCTGACTTCTCCATCTCTCCCCTCAGCCACCTGGGTTTACGTTACCTCCTACCCCCTCCCAGGTCTCCACCCACTTTGCTTCCATTTCAAGTTGCTTCAGTGTGGGCTTGAGAGGACAGAGTGTGCCCTTCCCTGGAGCCACTGGGGCCTTCCCAGGTGCATGCATTTCCTGGGAAAGTCTGTCTCACCTGCTTCCTCTCCCAAATTCCTCCTTGGAGTGCAGGGAAGTGGTCAGAGGCTGAGGGGATTGAGGAGGCTGAGAGATACCCTGGGAAACCCTCCTTTTTTTGCTAGTGGCTGAGGAGTGGGTCTCCTTGGATTTCCTTGAGTGGTCCCCTAAGAATCTTCCTTTTTTGGATGTGCTTCTAAAGTAGATTTTGAGTTTACGTATTGCAGCTGGAAACCTACTGTTAGTAAGGACAATTAACCATCCCCTTCTTCTACTCCCCCCTGGGTGCTGCTACTATTGATAATGATCAAAAGAGCTCCCCAGGCCCCAAGGAAGCTGCCCAGAAGTTTCCTAAACAGGCGCTGAAACGTCCCGCAGGAAGAGGACCAGCTATGCTGATAAACCTGCTCTAAAGACGCTCTTGGACAGGCAGGGAGCTCGCAGTTCGCTCCCACTATCTCACTAAGGTCTGTTGAGCGTCACACCGAGTCTTCTTGGGAAAGAAGCTGAGCAGCAGCAGCCGTGGCTGCCTCCCAGTGGCCCCGGCTAAAAATCTCCCGCTCAAGGAGCCCACACCAAATCTCCTATCTCGCTGCAGTGACAAGGACAGGCTCAGGCTGCCCCAAGAGCTGGCTCTGCAGCTGTGACTCAGCTGAGGAGGTTCGGGTGGGGCTGGGGGCCTGAGGGGCCAGTGCTGGTGACAACAGATTTCAGGAGCTTTTGTGTAGAAGACAGGAAGCTGAGTTCTGAGAACAAGCCCCACAGCAGAACTGTGATCTAATGAACTCACAGTAATTCCATTTATGCTACTGAATCTTCTCTGCGGGTTTAGGGAAATGGATCCCCTGCTTCATGATCCCTAAACATGTAGCCTGAGCTAAGGTCTAGATTCCACCTCTAAGTGACCCCTCTTTTCTTTCCTAATACCCACCCCCACCCAAAGCGCCAGCAATGACACAGGAACGTTTGTAGGGGGGTGGGTGGAGATTTTCTTTTATTCGTTTTAATTTTGGAGAGGAAGGACTAGAGCAAAAAGAGGATGCCAGCACACCAGGCGCTAGCATGACCCCTGCACATGCAGAACGTGAGGGTGCTCACTCTGGATTAGTGGCTGGTGAGTGGATGTGCCCGTGGAGAGAATGTCCTGCAGCTGCAACCCTGCCCTGCATTTTTATTAGCTTCAGGATCCACACCCACACCCACCCAAGGTTGCCTTGTCCTTCTCAGTGAGTGAATCTCCTAAGCAAATTGAGCTTTTACTCCTGGGGCTTCAAAGCCCCACCCCACATGGTAAGCATGCATCCCTCCCCTATAAAGGGAAAGGGACAGAGGATGCTGCTGCAGAGAGACCGCAGGCTTTGTTTTTCATCACCTATCAGCTTGGGAGAAAGACAGCCTTCCATCATAACAGTGAGACTGGAAAGAGCGTTGAGCCTCGCCTCTTCCCATCCCCTCTGGGCCCTTTGCAGTGTGGCCCTGTCTGATTGAAACAAATCCAGCAAGGGTCCTTCCATCCTTTCCCCTGGGGAGAAGAACTACCAGAAGACTCAACTGAACATTCAAGCCAAAATTTTGTTCTTACTCAGTTTCTGTTCCCACTAAAGGCCTTGTCCTGCCCCCCAAGGGGATTTCTAATGTCTGAAGCCCCCACATCTGGCCCAAATCCTCCCCAGCAATTTGTGGGTCCCATGGAAGGTATTTACTTGGTTGCAGCAACCCGTCACCACCCAGCCTCCCTGCATTCCCTCAGAGCAGTCTTGGGTTTTTCTCAGCATTTCTCCCTGTGGTTTTCTGCGGTGTCCTGACTTTGAGGTGTCCAAGGTGGCAGGGGAATTGTCAGGTGCCTTTGCTTTCTGTCCTCTCCTCCTCAGCCGTGTTAGCGTTGCTGACGGCGCAGAGCTGCCCCTGGGCTGCAGGCTTCACTGACAGGACCAGGCGTTTGCGGAACGTCTCACAGAGCACGATGTACACAAAGGGGTTGAGGCAGCTGTTGGCATAGCCCAAGCTGATGGCCGCATTGTACAGATAGACGAAGGTGAGGGTTGGGCGGCTGATGGACAGCTGGGTCAGCTGTAGCACATAGTAGGGCGCCCAGCACACAAAGAAGACCAGGCAGATAGCGATAGCCGTGCGGGTCACCCTCTTTGTCCGCAGCCGGATGCTGCGTTGGGAGGCAGGGGCCACGGAGGATGTCATGCGCTGTAGGATCCTCACATATGCGGCCGTGATGACCACAAAGGGCAGGGCAAAGGCCAGGAAAAACTGGTACAAGGTGAACCAGTAGAGGTCAGTGTCTGGGTTGGGCAGGCGGATGCCACAGCCCACCGTGCCCCCCGGAAAGGGGATGAGCCTGGCATAGAGCCACACAGGAGTGATGCTGATGAAGGAGAGGGCCCACAGGAGGCAGATCACCAGGGTGGCCACAGATGGCTTCCGGAACTTGGTGGAGGAGATGGGGTGGACTGTGGCCATGTAGCGGTCAATGGCCATGGCAGTGAGGATGTAGGTGCTGGTGAACTGACTGTTGGCGTCCATGGCTGTAATGAGGGTGCACATGGTCTCCCCAAAGTGCCAGACACCATTGCCCATGAGCTGGTGGATCATGAAGGGCATGCCCAGAAGGAAAAGGAGGTCCGCCACTGACAGGTTGATGATAAAGATGTCGGGGACGTTGCTGCACCAGTGCAGCTTGGACTTCTTCACAACAGCGAAGATGACCGTGGAGTTCCCAACGATGCCCAGGAGGCAGATGATGCCGAACACCGAAGGCATGATGATGTTGATGTAGGAGACACTCCTGGTGCGAGGAGGCAGCCCTGGGACAGAGGGAGCACACAGGACCATGGGCCCTGCTCTGAGGGCTGATGTCCTGCTGCCTTGCTCAGCCCCCAGCTACCAACTTGCTTCCTTTTCAGCCTCCCTATGGTTTCAGATCAGGGCCCACCATTTACCTGAATCCTCTCTTGCCATTCTCCTTCCCCACACTTTGCTAATCCTGTCCCCTTGCCCTCCCCCACCAGTTTTCTGGGGAATCCTACCAGATTCTCTGCAGCCACCTGTAGCCAAAGGACCCAGTCCTTTGCCTCCTACAGGGGATCAAGAACCATGGGTTTCAGAGAATTACCCTGTGCATTCCTGGGCTTCCCTAGGAAACCACATCTAAATAGCCAGAGGACAGCAAAGTGTGTTTGTTTGTGTGTGTGTTCTTTTCCTATCCTCAGCCCTGATCATTTCATCTTAGAGATTGCTGGTTGGACACTGTGTGCTGATTCCTGGGCCTCTCTTTGGGCAACTGCCTTGTAGACACTTGTGCCCACTGTGCCTGGGTCTGACCAGCCACCCTCCCCACCCTGGGCTCTCTATTAGGGATTTCCTCGGTCAGTTTCCTCTGAGTCTGGGCTTGCAGAATCAGAGATGGAAGCTCTGTGCTGCAGCCCAGCAGCCCGAGGATTTACTCCACATAAACCTTCTCCTCTTTGCCTTCCTTCCCTTCGCCTTCAAAGCTAGAATCCCAAGGCATCGCAGCACTGGAAATGTCAGGAAGCTTAATTCACCAGAAAAGTGAATCCCTTCCTGGCTGAGTGAGGTCTCCCCTTCCCACAGCCTCTCCCAGGGAGTAGGGATGTCTCAGACCCCATCCCTGAAATACGATACGCAGCCAGGGGTGGCAGTGAATGAGCCTCTGCGGTCTCCCACATCCCACCCTCCAGCTTCTCTTGCTTGCTTTTCCAGCCTGGAATTTTTTCTGCCAAGCAGATTTGGAACTCCTCAGCGAGCCTTCCCCTGCCTCCCTCATGCCTGGCCACCATTCCTTGTCACTTCTGTGTGCCTTTGCTTTCCCCTCTGCTCTCGCCCGCCCCTGCCCGCTTCTCCCCTTCCCCACTGGGCAAAGCGGACTGCAGATCTTGTCCCCAAGAACTGTAATAAAGTTTCCCAAGCAGTTTGGCTCAGGGGTGAAAGCTTCCCATTTCCCACCCCCAGCCCAGAGCAGGGAGGACTCCCCCAAACTCGACTCACCTGCTGAGGTGAGGTTAGCCGGGCCATCAGAGGTGTTGCTGGCATTGGGGCCAGTGGGCAGCAGGGAGGCTTCCAGGTCCATCCAGTCGGTGCTGGTTGCCAGTCGCCTGCTCCCTCCAGTTGAGGTCCTGGCCACCCACGCAGGCTGCGGCAGCCTCCAGCACCTGCCTTGTCCCGGAGCACAAGCTCCGCAGTCCCACAGTCAGGAAGGGGGTCTTCCTCAGCAGCCTGGCAGCCTGTGCCGCCTCCGAGCCCAACTGCCCTCCGCACTCCCTCCTTCCCGGCTCCCACTGACATCACCTAGACACATTAACATTCGGAGGCAGATGCACATTAACCTCTTCAGTCCCGGGCTGGGCTGTAGTTCCCACTTCTGACTGCTTGCAGAGCCCAGGGACCCTGGGGAAGGTGGGAAGGTTGGGATCAGGCAGCCCCAAGTGGGAGGGGACCTCCTTCCCACTGGCACTTGGGGCAGTGTGGTGAGCTCACAGGGACTACAGCTTGCTTTGCATGAGGATCCAAGGTCTCTGCAAAGGCAAAAGGGTGAAATGGGCTGCCTTGCTTTGGAGGAGAGAACAAGTCTGGTCTGTCCCCTAACCCCTGGTGTGGATGGGTTGCTGGACCACGTGGCAGGGGCCAAGGGGGACTATTCACAGAGCTTGAGAATCAAAGTCTTGGACTATAGCTTTCCTACCTCCCCTACACACAGGCCCCTTCCCTATGCTCTGATGGATTCCACTCACCTTGCTGGCCAGACTACCAGCATCCTTCAAAAGCTGAGCCCTTGCCTGGCAATCAGAGGTGACTCAAGTCACTCACGCTGGCAATGGCCAGAACACAGAGAACCAGAAGGAGACAAACTCCCATCTGCATAGGATCAGCCTGGACTAGGGTTACAGAAGTTTTGTTTTTCTAGGTGTTCTGAGGTCCTTGAGGTTTGACCTGGGAATCTTTGAAACAAATACTAGGGGTGGTGCCTGTGGCTCAAGGAGTAGGGTGCCAGCCCTATATGCCAGAGGTGGTGGGTTCAAACCCAGCCCTGGCCAAAACAAAACAAAACAAATACTAGAGCATAAGCTCCCAAAGAGATCATCACGGAGGAACAGCCTCTGAGTGCAGAGACACTGAGTGAATTCTCTGCAGAGGCCTTCTGAGCTGCCACCATATGCCTGCCCAGACTCAGGGGCCCGGGGCTTGGGGGCTCACAGTCTGATCATACATAGTTCTTCCATCTTATGTACTTACTTTGCTCCATCTAACAAATATTTATACTTGCCAAGCCCCGTTCTAGGGTCTGTGGTTAAAAAAAAAAAAGACAGGCTCGGCACCTGTGGCTCAAGCAGCTAAGGCGCCAGCCACATACACCTAAGGTGGCGGGTTTGAATCCCCAGCCCGGGCCCGCCAAACAACAATGATGGCTGCAACCAAAAAATGGCCAGGCGTTGTGGCGGGCGCCTGTGGTCCCAGCTACTTGGGAGGCTGAGGCAGGAGACTCGCTTGAGCCCAGGAGTTGGAGGTTGCTGTGAGCGTGATGCCATGGCACTCTACCCAGGGGGATAGCTTGAGGCTCCGTCTCAAAAAAAAAAAAAGACAACAGAGTCTTCATCCTCATGGAGATTATACCCAGGTTGGGAAGAGACAGAAAATATACCCCAAAATGATAAATTTTATCTTGGCGATTGCTATGAAAAGCTTAAATAGGGATGAGGGGGCTCAGGAATAGCAATGAGGTAGAGGTTGTTATTGATATTTTACACAGGGTAGGTCATCCAAGGAAGGCCTCTTTGAGAGGCATTTTGATTAGAGTCATGAAGAAAGAAAGGATGCCTACTTCTGGGGAGGAAGAACGTTTGTGGCAGTGCAGAGAGCCAGTGCAAAGGTCCCAAGGCAGGAGTAGCAGGAGATGACACAGAGAGGAAACAGCAGGAAGGCAGATTCTGTCCGGCCTTATCAGGCTTTGTGCGGACTTTGGCTTTTCCTTTAGGGAATGGAAGTCACCAGAGGGTTTTTGCTGAAAGGAGACATGATCAGGCATGTTTTAAAAGGATGAGCCTACTGTAGGAAGGGAAACAAGTGGAGAAGGTGTTTTACGTGGGATCCCTTGAAAGCAGAGCCTGGAGGACTCAAGAGTACAAAATCTATCTAAGAGACGATCCTAGTGGGCAGCAGACGTAAGGGAGGAGGAACAAGAGACAGGAAAGGAGAAAAGGCCTATTTAAGGGTGTGCAGTGTTGTTACTGTGGACAGTGGGGCCTTGGGTTCACCGGGATCCTTGAAAACTCCATGGTCTTCCTGAATCATTGCCTGAAGGATGAAAGGCAGGGATGTTTATCCTTTGTCCCTGTCTGCCACTGCGAACTCTGCACTTTGGGGTGCATGAGCAGAGGAGGCTTCAGCTTCAATGCAACAGAAAGCAAAAAGTGCAGCTCATACTTAAGGCAAGAGACTGTCAGCACAGGTGACTCTCAGCTCACCTGGAACCACTGACCCTGGAAATCAGATGGGCAGAGGGAGTGTGATGCAGAGTTCCAGAAGTGTCTTGTACTGACTGCCCCTTGCATGGCTCAGATTAATTTATGCCTCACTCTGACTCCAATATCTTGTTGAATGTTCAAGGTGGTGGCTGGCTGCTATACTCTCTACAAGATTTAAATGCATGAACATTTCATTCTAGATTTCTCTTACCTTCAGATGGCACTTTGGCTGGTCTAGGATGATTGCTCAGTGGAATAATCCAAACCCGAGGGGTTAAATTGCCTGATAACTCCCATCACTGGGCATGGAAGCATCAAGAAAGACCCCTCAGTTCCAGACATATTCTTCCTTGGCCCCATTGTGTAGTACATCCCCAGCTCCTCATGCCAGTCACAGTTGATTACCCCTACTCATATACTTACTCCATTCTTGGCCATTTGGTCCACTAGCATGAGTCCAAAATAAAACCAGGTGAGAGTTTAGCTTCAGATTCAGCGGAACCCTTACTAAGAACCCTAGTGGAGCCCTCTCCTCTCCAAGGCCCCTGACCAGTGCATTCCTTATCATGTTTATGAAGGGGTGGCCTCTGGTATTCCCTGGGGAACTTAGTTTGTGGGTTCTCTAGTTTCACATAATAAATCCCTGAGTCTTCTTTTTTTAATTTTTATTTAATTTCAGGTAAATTTTGAGGGTGCAAAGAATTAGGTTACAATGAATTTATTAGGTATAGTCCCTATTGTAGTTGTATTCTATCCCCTGGAGGTGTGCCATCTGCCCCCCACGTTGTAGCTATTCAGTAGGAGCACACCAACCCCCTCCCTCCTCCCCTCTCCCCGTCTCTCCTTCCTCCTCCCCCCATCTTGAATTAAATTGAGTTTTTCTCTTGCATGGGCATGTATTAGAACGTCTACTGGCTTCATATTAGTATTGAGTACATTGGATACCTGCTTTTCCATTCTTGTGATGCTTTACTAAGAAGAATGTGTTTTTTTTTGTTTTTTTGTTTTTGAGACAGAGCCTCAAGCTGTCTCCCCGGGTGGAGTGCCGTGGCATCAAAGCTCACAGCAATTTCCAACTACTGGGCTCAAGCAAGTCTCCTGCCTCAGCCTTCCAAGTAGCTGGGACCACAGGCGCCCGCCACAATGCCGGGCTATTTTTTGGTTGTAGCCATCGTTGTTTGGCGGGCCCGGGCTGGGGATTCGAACCTGCCACCTTAGGTGTATGTGGCTGGCGCCTTAGCCACTTGAGCCACAGTCACCGAGCCAAGAAGAATGTGTTTCAGTTCTATCCAGGTTAATACCAAAAATGTAAGGTCCCCATCTTTTTTATGGCTGAATAGTATTCCGTGGTATACATATACCACAACTTGTTAATCCATCCCTGGGTTAATGTGCATTAGGTTGTTTCCAAATCTTGGCAATTATAAATTGAGCTGTGATAAACAATCTAGTGCAAAGGTCCTTACGAAAAAATGATTTCTTTTCTTCTGGGTAGATGTCTAGTAATGGGATTGCAGGATCAAATGGAAGGTCTATTTTGAGTTCTTTGAGGATTTTCCATACTTCTTTCCAAAGAGGCTATATTAGTTTGCAGTCCCACCAACAATGTTAAGTGGTCCCTTCTTGACAACTCTGTGCCAGCATCTGCAGCACTGGGACTTTTGATGTGGGCCATTCTCATTGGGGTTAGGTGATACCCCAGGGTGGTTTTGATTTACATTTCTCTGATGATTACAGAAGATGAACAATTTTCCATATGTTCGTTAGCCATTAATGTCTTTTTCCGAAAAGGTTCTGTTCATGTCTCTTGCCCACTGATAGATGGGATTTGCTCTTTTTTTTGTTGATTAATTTGAGTTCTCTGTAGATTCTAGTTATCAACCCTTTGTCAGATTCACAACATGGAAATATCTTTTCCCATTCTGAAAACTGTCTATTTGCTTTAATTGTCGTATCCTCAGCTGCACACTTCCCTGAGTCTTCTAACCTCTTTTTCAAAACTCTGCCAAGGACCAGGGCATGGGGGAAGTGGGTATAAGGAGTTATTGTTTAATGGGTACAGAGTTTCTGTTTGGGATGACAAAAAAGCTCTAGAAATGGACAGTGGTAATGGTTGCAATTGGGAATGTACTTACTGACACTGAGTTGGACAGTAAAAGTGGTTAAAATAGTACATTTTATGTTGTATCCATTTTACTACAATATATAAAATGAAGTGGTAAATGTTATGTACGTTTATCACCCCCCCAAAAAAAATCCCAAAACTTTGCCAAAGTAGCCCCAGGATCCCCATCTTACTATTGCAGACCATTTCATGGGGCTACCCCAGAAGCACATTAGCACTGGCTGCAGGTATCCTTCCCAGGACGGTATATCCCACACTACAGGAGAGTGCTCCCCTGTCAAGAGACTACCTCTTTTCCACCCTATATTTGCACCATGGTCCCTCAGGGGGGACCACTCTCCCACTCTCCCTCATGTTCCCTTTATTTCTTCCAATCCGTATTAGCTAGCTCCTGGTGAGAGAACCAGTTTCTCCAAAAGTGGGACCATATTTTTCACCTCAGGCCGCTGAGACCTGATCCTAGTTTTGGGGTCAGAAGCAACAAGATGAGGAGGACAAATATCTTCTTGTAAGGTATGCATTACAGTTGAATCCTAGCACATTTTCTAGACAAAGGCAGGCTGCTTCCCTGTAACAAGGGGGAGAAGGTTGCTTCTCATGGCTTAGCATCTTCAGGGTACCCAGAGGAATCTGGGGTTCAAGTGTACCCAGATGTCTCTTCCTAGTCCTCAGGCTTCCAATCCTATCAGGCCTTGACT